TCGGATCTGCAATGTACCTGAATTGTACCAAAGGTAACCCAACGTGACCCCAACGGGAGAAGTATGGGTTTGTGTTAGGAATAACTCCCCAGGTGGTTGGAATTGATTCGAGTCATCGTCTCTCCCAGATAGTGAGAACTTGACTGAGCAGCGACAACGTAGCATTAATTGATGGAACTTGATGGTTATGATGATACTCAAATTAATACAACGGATATGGTTACTAATGCTTGTTAGCTTAATCACATGATTGCTCTAGTACAGGTGCTAATCTAGAGATGCTTAATTGAATAGGTATTCAATTTGATGCTAAAGATATTAAATCTCCAAGTTATGTTACTTAAGCTTTTATGCAAAATGTTGTCAAGCTAACTCCACCGATAAAGCCTTGCATACTCCTTTGTGTCATATTATTTCTAGTTTACGACGGGTAAATCTAGCTGAGTATATTCTCGTACTCAGGGTTTATTCCCTCTTGTTGCAGATGATATGATGTATCATATCATGGGTACTGTAAGAACTGCCTTCATCCTACCGTGGATGAGGACTAAACCATGGGGCATGGTACTCCTATGTTATCCTTTCTGTTATGCTTTTGCTGGAAATGACTGTGGTACTGGCATGTATTTGAACTAAGTGTGATGTTGATGTCAAACTACTTTGCTTCCGCTATTTGAACTTGGTTTGTAATAACTATGTGAACTCTGATATATGTGAGATACTTGTGAACTATTTGTGAACTATGATGTAACATGTGACTTGTGATGTTGAATCATGTACAATCTTGGTGTGTATGTTGGTTTGTTTGAGATCCTTCGTGATTTCATTGGACTATCGGGTTTATATGGACTCAAGCATGATGGTTGATCGCTCCGGTGATTGCTATTATACTTGTGCTCTTATAAATTGGACGGTTCTATTACATTGGTCCTTCATGGCTCGGATTTGCTTGAGGAAAGGACGAATCTCTTCAAGTTCCGTCGCATTCAGCGTCTCTTTATCCCAGCGGTTGTTGGGTACCGGTACGGTGTTGCTATGCACCTCTAGGGGGGCCACATGTTCCCCGCATAAAACCACTCAGCCCTCTAGTTCTTTACAGAATCAACCAGGGTGTAGTGGACATACTCGTTCTTCCTCCCTACGTGGAATTGAATTCTGGCACCCCCCAAAATACTTGGATTTGTGGCGTCCGGGTGCGGTTTTAGTTTGAAAAAGTAGCAGAAAAGAGTGATAGATGGGGGGATGCCAAGGAAAGTTTCACAGAGATCAACAAAGATCGAAAGATGTAGGATGGAGTTAGGGTTCAGATGATTCAGGGTTATGCCATAATAGTGCAAAAACCCATGCAAAAAAGGACTTGTTGGCAATCCTAACCCATGCTCGATGAACGGCACAAAGAGAACAATCTCACCGGGCTCAAGATTGGGAATACGGTTTTCTCCAGGCACCTTCCATTCCCCAAGTTTCTGCTCCGGTAGATAGCCCTGTTCGTGGAGCGTCAGGAGATGCTTTGGCTTTGTGGTCGGCGCTGGTCATATTTGAGCAGCGGCGGCCATCTCCGACACCTCCAACGCCCTCTTCTCGGTGACTTTCTTGGCGGCGGTGCTCGAGTTCTTGCTCTTGCCCATCACATAGAGCTTTTATAGATCTAGGGTTTCAAGGAGCAAGATTGGGGGCGCTCACAGAATCACAGGGGCTTAAGCAGAAAGAGAAATGAAGCAGAGAAAGATGCCGCTCAGATTGGTTACCTTTTATACAGGATTCCCACTACCGTGTGGCCCGATAATCACGCCAACGGGTGCGGCGCTTCGGTTTCCCTACCATTTTAATGACGTCGCGCGGATTGATACGACGGCTGCACGCCTTTTCAGGATTTCCAACACGTCACAATGTGTTCAGACTTATCCTTTGGATTCATTCCTTCTGAGTACCTGCCACGCTACGGCCATTATTTACATGGCCACATCGTGAAGTACCTGAATGTTTGATGCAGTATTCAGACAATTGCTTGACAGTATGCACTAAGCATCGCAATACTCGGATGAAGATTTTTTATTTAACAACCGTCCAATGGATACATAGTTGCACACTTTACAAGATTCAAGAACACTCAGAATAATGAGTGACTATTTATTTAGAGAGTTACAAGTATTGGATACAAGATCTTTTCAGTCAATAACAAAGACAACACCTACTCGAATATAATAGAGTACTCACACTAAAGTGCTTCTCAATAGGTACTTCCATACCCGATGCACCTGGATCCAAGATGAGAAGAGTAATGCATCTGGGTAGATAACAGAAGTGTAGTGTGTCCTAGTCGAGAACCTTGGGTAGACTGTCTGACTACGAACATTTGTTGGCCGACTACCCTTGGGAGTATAGCTACTACAAGAGGAAGCCTGTTGGCTAGTATGCAGGATGAGCTACTCGCACATCTTGCCACCCAGCCGACACCATCTGTACACATTCGGGTCCGGTACGATCCTTCATGCACAGACATCGATAGACACCCTAGAAGAACTGACATGGGACTGCTGGATGTGCCACTCTACCAGCCGTCACAAGACTTCTTCTAGTTGCAGCTCCAGGCTACTCTACTATGCACAACTATGGGTTTAGCCTACCTCTAAACCCTCTCACAAGAATTCTTCTAGTCACTACAGCTCTCGGTATACCAACCGAGTACTCCCGGAGGCTGGTCTACTTCGCTCACCACCATATTTGCAAACTTTAAACTTAGAGCTACCTTGATTCTTCTACAACTGAGGTTTAAGTGCTCGCCAGGAGGGTTTTTATAGGCGTTTTGGTGGTGTTTGTGAACTAGGTTCACGAGGACTACATGGACAAGCTACTGACTTCCTCATAGGTCCATGTGCGACACTACAAGGGTACAGTGTGTCCCACTACACCTTTTCAGTGTACCGATGGCCTTATCTCAACTCATGTGAAGTAACAGTACACCCGGTAGCACCTTTGATGGCATATTCCCACGAATATCCTGAGCATCTTTGGACCAACTGTACTAAAGCTTTGCATGTGACTTTGACATGTCTTACCTGCTTCTGTACAAGCAGATAGGGCAATAATTTTCGCCTACACTCTCATCCTCGAGTACATTCTTTTCAGATCCTTATCTCGAGTACAAGTACTCGGACACAAACTCGGGGGCTGCAGGGTACATATCCTCTACGGATGTTTTTTCTTTTAGACACTCTTAACTCTTTGTTTTGTATACATCAAGAGGCTCGGGGGCTACACTCAGTGAGTGCACATTTATGAAAAGAGCACGTCACCCAGAGGCTTTACAGAGCACCTCATGGCTTCACTTACGAAAGCACTCGGACTACGCTTGTTTCTACTTGGCAAGATCAGGAGGAACAAGAAGACTTCTGAGTTCAACCATGACACGCTCGGGGGCTTGATGGACCAGGATCCTAAGGATTCCCCATGGGGGTACTACTTGGATGGGCACTGGGATGGCCCACGATCTGTTGAAGGACACGAGACAAGGTGGCGTGGACTTCAAGCTATTCTAGATCGACTTAGTCGGCTTACTATGAAAGCTAGATTCTGTAATAGGACTAGGACTCTTCTCTTGTAACCGACTAGGACTAGATACATGTCCTTACCCTCTCCCCTATATAAAGAGAGGTACGGTGCACCCCCTTATAACCCTAACAATTATTCAATCAATCCAACGCAAAAGGTTACACGCCTACTGGACATAAAGGCTATTATTTGACAAGAGGGCCCGAACTAGTATAAATCGTTCGTCCATTTGCATTTACTGTCGAGTTCTGCGTACGCCAAAGCCCTTCGAACACCGTCCTAGGTACCCCGGTGACGGGTTGTCTGTCATCAAACACCGACAATAACTTTGGCTGTTATTTAGTTTGCTGCTAAAAGTTGTTAACCTCTCATTTGGCTTGCCAAATCTATGGTAAAATTTTGCCAAACTTTTAGTTGCCAAATCTTTGGCATGACAAAAGTTGGCTACAAACGGATACAAACCAAGCATGCCCTTAAGCCAGTTTTCCCAAAATTCCTCTTAAACTTGCTTTTGTCAAAATTGGTTCTATTTTTAAGATCCAAACGTCAAATGAGTTAATTAAGTGGCAGAGCTGAGAGCCTCAGAGTGTATGATTTTACCCATCGCGATTTGAGCCCTAATGCATATGAATTAGATATGCAAACGGTCTATTTGTAAACGGGGAAAATGTACGGTGGAAACGACTTACTAGGTGGAAATATAGAAACTAGTTTAAAAATATACTTTGGTAACTTGGAATTTGCTAAAACTTGACACATATGTAGTTCATCCATATATGAACTCACATGAAAAAGTTGAGATGCAAAGTCATTTTTGAAAAATTCATATGAAAATAACAAAATTCATGTGCACATACTAGAAGACAAAAATACAGAATTTTTGTCTTGTAGAGCACATTCAAGTGAAATTTATGATTTGTATATGATTTTTTCAAAAGTGAATTTACATTTCAACTTTTGCATGTGAGTAGATATATAGATGCACTACACATGTGTCGAGTTTCAAAAAATTTGTTACAAAAAGTACATTTTTAAACTACTTTTCATGTTTCCACGTAATAAGTCATTTTTACCGTATATTTTCCCCACACAACAATAACTTGTGGAAAGGAAAAAATGATACGAAGAGCACATGCAGCGAGCCAGCTTAGTCTCAGTGATGCAATAACACAGGCATGTTCAAACGTTTTACAGGTATGAAAACAACGTAGCAGTAAGCACTAGATGTTCATAGCGCTTCATAGATCGATTTGGATATGTGACAACACTTATTTCCTCAACTAAATATTATTTTTTATACAACCGACCTGCAAAGGCTATTAAGCACCATACCATGCATGGCACAAATCCAAGTAACACAAAAACAGCGCTGTCCCAAGAACACGATTGAAGACAAAATGCCAACAAGGATGTAACAGCGAAGCTGCAACTGCAACCCGGCGAGCAACCTACAATGGAGTCAGGCCAACAACACCTGCACAAGGAACACAACAATTAGACAAATGGACATGAAACATTGCACAAGAGCAAATGATTCAGCAACGCAAACCATGAATACTAGGTGAAGAACATAAAACGCTTTGGAGTGCACATGAATACTTCATGTAAAACAGTTGCAGCACTTATTTTTTATCGTCGTTTAAATGAGCTGAATGGACACCGATTATAAGCTTCAATGCCTTTCTCATGTATACTTAAGCAACATCATCATCGCATAGCCGTGTTGAAGGCTTCATAAATATAGCAAAGAGAACATACCACATGCCAGTCTTCCACCAGCATTTCCAGTAGAGAGGCTGAGCTCATGGCCCCCTAAACATGATGAACAAAGTTAAAAGGGCAGCGTACGAACTGAATAGAAAGAAAACGTGGAATGCAAGTAGAACTAGGCACACCTTTCCCCAAATCATCTTCAAGCTCATGAACCACAAATGCTCTCCCAACAACTGAATTTGGGCCACTCAAAGGAATCTGAATACCAAGGAATCACAAAATTACCAAACTGAATTGGGCACAACTTATATAGTATAAAAGTATGGTCTTGGTCTTCCAAATTTACCTGGGTATCAACAATGATTGCCTCAGCTACGCCTGTATCACGACCAATTAAACAAACATGCCATAAAACAAGTCATAATTCAGAAGAAGAAATTTGCTAATGAATATCACAAGTGTACTACTGGTTGCTACAGGCCTTACCCTCAGCATTGGCAACAATGTTTCCCAGGTCACCCGCATGACGGACTTCGTCTTCTGGTGCACCGTGTGTAAGATTGTTTGGATTAAAATGTGGTCCTGTAAGATAGAAAAGATTATTTTTTAAGTTAGCATATGGTTTTTATTGACTTGGAGAAGACTTATGATAAAATACCAAGGAATATTATGTGGTGGGCTTTAGACAAACATAAAGTCCCAACGAAGTACGTCGGGCTCATTAAGGACATGTACAACAATGTTGTGACTAGAGTTCGAACAAGTGATGGAGATACGGGTGACTTCCCGATTAGGATAGGACTACATCAAGGGTCAGCTTTGAGCCCTTATTTGTTTGCCTTAGTGAGGGATGAGGTCACAAGGGACATACAAGGGGACATCCCTTGGTGTATGTTTTTCGCGAGACGATGTAGTGCTAGTTGATGAAAGCCGGATAGGAGTGAATCAAAACTGGAGTTATGGCGGGACTTTTGAGGCCAAAGATTTTAGACTCAGTAGAACTAAAACTGAGTATATAAGATGTGACTTCGGCACTACTACTCGGGAGGAGGAATATATTAGTTTGGAAGGTCAAGTAGTGCCTAGGAATGATACCTTTCGATATTTAGGATCAATGCTACAGAAAGACGGGGATATTGATGAAGATGTTAGCCATAGAATCAAAGCAGGGTGGATGAAATGGCGGCAAGCATCTGGTGTCCTATGTGACAAAAGGGTACCACAGAAGCTAAAAGGCAAGTTTTATAGGACGGCGATTAGACCTGCTATGTTGTATGGTGCAAAATGTTGGCCTACGAAAAGACAACATGTTCAACAGATAAGTGTGGCGGAAATACGTATGTTGCGTTGGATTTGCGATTATACAAGAAGGGATCGAGTTCGGAACGATGATATACGTGATAGATTAGGGGTAGCACCAATTGAAGAAAAGCTTGTCCAACACCGGTTGAGATGGTTTGGACATGTCCAACGGAGACCTCCAGAGGCACCGGTGCGTAGTGGAATCCTAAACCAGGATAGTAACGTGAAGAGAGGCAGAGGAAGACCGAAGTTGACTTGGGTAGAGACAATAAAAGGAGACTTGAAAGAATGGAATATGCCCAAAGACTTAGCCTTAGATAGGAGTGCTTGGAAGACAGCTATTCACGTGCCTGAACCTTGATTGCTTCTGCTGGGTTTCAACTCTAGCCTACCCCAACTTGTTTGGGACTTAAAGGCTTTATTGTTGTTGTTGTTGTTGTCAACTTGAACAGCTAGATGACTCAATTTATAGCAAAGTGCAAGCATAACTGAAGATGCATGAAACTATAGCCAGAAGGAAAAGGAATGAATAACACCAGATCGTGGTGACGAAATTAGTTTGATGGAAATTTAACAGTGATTGTATAAGACAGCTAAAATTCAGTACTCCCTCCATTCCAAATTGTAAGCCATTTTGGCTTTTCTAGATACATAGTTTTTATTATGTATCTAGACACAATGTATATCTAGGTGCATAGCAAAAGCCATATATCTAGAAAAAACAAAATGACTTGTAATTAGAATGGAGGGAGTACCACATTAAGAAAAAAATATCACAATTGCGGGCATAATTAAGATCAATGGAAAATTACAACCTGTCGATATGCACCCATTGGTAGTATCACCAAACTCGTGCTGCAAAATGAACAATTTTATCATCATCATGTTTGCAAATGAAGAAGTTAATGCTGAAAGCTACTGAAGATAACAACACTCACGAGGTGGAAGCCATGAAGTCCAGGAGTAAGTCCAGTGATACGGACGTTCACGGTTGTAGGTCCTGTTATACAAGATCAATATTCAGAGGGGTAAGAGTAGACACAAAACCATTTGCATTTCATAAGAAAAATGCATATGCGCTAGTGATGAAAAGTCATAGTTTGATAAGAAGTCAGTAGGGAACTGCATGGGTCAGGCAGTCAGCAATCAATGAGCTAAGCCCAACACTGTGTGGTTCCCTTACCGTAACACTTGAATTAGCGAGATTATAGACTTTTGCTGATGGATTTTAGTCATATGCATGATAATTTGAATAAAAACAGTGGAAGGAACGAAAGCTGTGTTCCAATTGAGTTCTGACAGCAAGCATCAAGCTGGATTTTGTCAAAGCTGATGCCTGCTGCAAGGCAAATTCACGCAGTCGTTGTATCCGGGTTACTAGCGGTACAAAGGTTCAAACTTTTAGGTAAGCGTGACATGAGTTTGACCAAATTGCTACAATCCACAGAGAAATGCACCCAATTAACAAAGGGGGGAAATAAAGTTCCCTGTTTTGGCTGCCCAGCGAGGCAACTGCCGAAGCTAGCCTGTAGTAGATGTTAGGTGGGCAAGGTGAGAAGATGTGGGGATAAGATAGACAGGGAACGCACCCTCGTCGTCCTGCGTGAGCGTGACGACGCCCTCGACCTCGGACGTGCCCTTGAGGACGACTACGGCCTTCTTTGTGGCGTCGGCGACGACGAGCTCCCTGGCGGCGGCGGCGCCCCCCGGGCCGGCGACGAAGTGGACCGAGTGGAAAGGGCGTGCGGAGGAATAGGGAGCGGCGAACAGCGCAGCGGTCGTGGCTGTGGCGGTGGCGGCGAGGAGGAAGGACTGCGCGGCCATGGCGGGCTGGCAACGACGGCGGCGGCGGCGGCCTTTGGGACTTTGGGAGGGTCTTGGGTGGGTGGGTGACTGGCGATAAGGTGGGCTCACGTTTATTATACTCGGCCACACCTACGGCTGCCAGGGCGATGAACTGGATGGATCCCCGTCCGAGCGCGGGGCAAAGCAGCCAGATGCGTTCTGATATGCCGCGTGTGGCTCAGCTCGCGTCACAAGCCACGAGTGCAAGCGAAGCACGACGGTGCATCAGAACGGTCGTGCTCCTGCAATCTGTCCGTTTTCGTCTGGCTCTCTGGGTTGCTCCAGAAACCTCTCTATTGGAAGTTAGAACTGAAAATAGGTTGGCTTCTGTGAGAAGTATTTTACCTACGTGTCATTATAAAAGATGATTGTAATCTATAGGTAATTCAAAAATTCAAACACAATTAAATGTTATTGGCTGAAACTTTTTTTATTTTGCCCTCCATGCCATTCCATCCGTTTTTGTCTCTAACGGTGTTAAAGAGCGACGAAAAAAATCCAAAATGTCCTCTAAGTCTGAAAGACATGTAAAAGTTTCTGTTTCCTCTAGTGCCACTGACCTCCGACGTGCTCGGCCGACATCCTCAGCATGTTCCAGCAGCTTGATGTGACACGAACCACGGCCACCTAGTTGGAGGGCTTGGGGAACTGGTAGGTTGGCTTTGCTAACAATGGGAGAAGTATTTTACCTAGATGATCAATTATAAAAGATGATTGTAATCTATAGGTAATTCAAAATTCGAACACAATTAAATGTTATTGGTTTGATGAAACTTTTTTATTTTGCCCTCCATGCCATTTCCATCCATAGTTTTTTTGTCTCTAACGGTAGTCAAAAGCATACGAAAAAAATCCAAAATGTCTAAGAAAAAAAATATCACAATTGCGGGCATAATTAAGATCAAGTCTGAAAAGACATGCAAAATGAACAAAAGTTTCTGTTTCCTCTAGTGCCACTGAAAGATAACAACACTCACGAGGTGGAAGCCATGAAGTCCAGGAGTAAGTCCAGTGATACCGACGTTCACGGTTGACATCCTCAGCATGTTCGCTAGTGATGAAAAGTCATAGTTTGATAAGAAGTCAGTACGGAACTGCATGGGTCGGCAGTGACACGAACCACGGCCACCTAGTTGGAGGGCTTGGGGAACTGGTAGACGAACGTACATGATGGTGGCATTCTCGCACTTACATGCCGCCCTGGCACGACATGGCACACCTGAGCATCACGTAATGCCACCGGCGTCGTCGTCGTGCCCTTGATGTTCTTGAACTTGATGCAGACGCCGTTCATGGTGCCGATGAAGGTGACCTCTCCCTCGCCGGCGTACCGGTCGGGGCTGCCGACGCTCATGCCGACCGCACGCGAGCCACGTCCACATCGTCGTTGCCCTGGCCAATGGAGACGTAGTTGTCTCATCACCCGTGCCGATGCGCGTGCCCGTGATGGACACCCGTGCCGATTCGTCATTGATCTGGAGTGTGGAATCGCGATGCGAGGAGGCGTGCTGTCCGCAGCTTCCACGGCAACCTCGCCGCGGCCAGCGCCGGACGACCACGCGGTCCTTCTTCGCCCTCGACCCAACCCTCTGCGTGCGGCCCTTCTTCCTCATGCCCGAGAGCTACACGGCCAAGTACGTCCCCGCGGCGGGGACGCATATCCAGGACGTGAACGCCCGGCAGCCTGGCGTCCTGCTCCCTAGCGTGCTTTAGCGCGGCGGCAACCTATGCCTTCGTCTCCACCACGTCCACAATGTGGCTCCACGCGTGGCCTGGGCTATGCCGCGCACTGCTCCTACCCTGGGATGGGCCCACGCCTGCCGAGCTCGCTACCGCGAGGCGCCACTTCCTCAACCTTTGCCTGTTCCTCCGCCTCGCTGGCGCCGCCACCAACCAATGCGTCCTGGAGGCCATGGAGTCGGAGAAGTTCGTGCATGTCGTCGACCTTAGCGGCGCCGAGGCCACGCAGGGACGTGCTCACGCAGACGGCCATGGCGCTGACCAAGGAGGTGGATCGGCTGGACGTGCCACTCTAGTTCAACCCCATCGTGTCCCAAGTCCCTGCTGGAGGCGCTGGACATCGAGTCCCTCCGCGTGAAGACCGACGAGGCAGCAAAGGCGGGGACAAGCGGCAGCGGAGCCCAGAGTCCGGGGTGTCTCCGTCAACGTTGCCGTCGCTCTGGACGCCCATGCTTTCCCTCGGACCGGCCTATCTCGAAGACCAGGGACTAGCCTTGGAGGAGCGTGTCCCTCAGGTACAAGATGCCTAGAGCCGGGCGCATGTCGCTTAGCCGTGCACGTGCAGTGCCGAGAGGGCGAGTCGGAGAGCCGGAGGAGCACTGAGCATCGAGGGGCGAGGGCGAGGAAGCTGTGGTGCCGCTGCGTTGTGGCCCTGACGCCCTGCCCGCCCACCACCGCTTCCGTTTCCTCTTTCGCAGCTCCCAACGGATGCACGAGAGAGACGAGAGACCAGAGAAACGAGGGGATAAGGTTGGGAGTGAGAAATGAGACCGGGGTATTCCAGACAATATCATTGCCTGGTCCCACACGTCAAGACACCAAAACCGTGAAAACGAACAGAACGTGGATGGAATGGCGTGGAGAACAGAAAAGTTTCGAGCAGTGGCATCTAGATGCGCTCGAACTTTTTAGTGGCTTATAGGTCACGACCATCTTTTATAATGGCATACACATAAAAGACTCGTTTGTAAGCTCTCTCTCTCTCTCTCTTTCCTCCTTTGCCGACACTCACGGAGATCTTGTTGACAGCAAAAAGTGATCAGGACTCAAGAGAGGTTTAAATTCAGATTTCAAAATTAACTACAATTGAAAGGGGTCGAATTTGCCATAAATTGGCAATTCCTAGAGAAGACCGGTTAAGGCGGTCTGAGAAGTGCTGATGGTTGGTTCCAAAACGATGTTGCACTGGCGTTGCCAACTTAAGCCATGCAAAGGTAGCTTCATCAGCGTCCCTCCATCTATGGGCGGGTTTCCATCCTCTCCATCAACATCTCTAAATTGGTGGATGTAGGAAGCTGCCAACGCAGCTATGAGCCAATGAATCTTGCATCCAAGTATATGCTACGAGAAATCTCCACAAACCCATTCTACACCTCTTTCTTTGTAGTCTACTTTACTAATTCATCGTCTTTTTCTTTGCTAAACCCACCCACAAAAACCTCTCCCACTGAGATGCCTCCCTCCATACACCCCAGAAAATATACCCAGAAAAATCACACCATTAAAACGAACCGTCCAAATTTATTCTAAGCCTTCTCACTCCTTACTCAAATTGAACGGTCAAGATCTTGTGTATCATCCTCCTCATCCTCCCTCGTCCAATCTATCCTACTAATTTAGCATCATTTTCTTTGCTAAACCCACCCAAAAAACGTCCATCACTGAGAAGCCTTCTATCCATCCACCCACAAAATTATACCCAGAAAAACAACAACTTTAAAACGGACCGTTCAGATTTAGTCTAAATCTTCTCTCTCTCCTTACTCACTCAAATCGGACGATCAAGATCGAGTGTATCATCCTCCTCCTCCCTCCAATCTCCCACGCCGCGCCCAGCCCTCCGAGCCCGCGCCCAGCGGTCACGGTTCGATCCCTGTGTTGTCTTTTTTTCCGTCTATTTTCGCTCGAGCGACTGCAGAACATCGATCCACCTCGTCGATGGCCTCTTCTTCCCCACGCGCCGACGGACACCAGGTTGCGCGCGTCCAGGACAACCGCCCCGTCTGATCCGCCCGCCGGCGCCACCTCGTAGCCGGCCGTGACCCGACGGTGCTTTGTCCTCTCCCATGAAACCCTTCGCCCCCCGCCGCCTCCTCTTGCCTCCGCTGCGACGGTGCTCGGATCCGGTCTCCCGTGACATGCCTCGAGCTCGTTGTCCCACGCACACACGAGTTGCCCTGCGCCCCCCTCCCCGGATCCACGCCGGCGAGCGAGCCCCCCATTGCGGCGCGCTGCCTCCCCCGCACACGGCGGCAAGGCGTGGGGAGTGATGCCGGCGGTCCGTGCGCGCGCCTGGCCATGATGGGGCGGTGTACCTGACGCGTATTGCCCACATTGCAAACTGGTTCTACTTATTTGCACTGCACATATATATTGTTCGTGAATGACGGGTTAGTATGAAAATTTGCACCCTGTTCGTTTGAACTTATCAGCTATAGTATAATGTTTTTCTCTCACAATAAAACAGCATCAGCCGGTTTATCAGCCGCAAAAATCATCATCCGAACAGCACGTTGATTCTTCCATTGCAGGTAATCGCAGCCTCAATTACAGTGACCCATGGTTCTCCGGACCTGCTGAAAAATTACAACATTGCCTGCGTCCTGCTACATCCTGGAACCGTGGAAATGTCCCCAGGGATAAGCTCTTCTTCACGAGGGAGTTCTGTGTACAGAAGCTTCTCTCACTCATTGACAACGTCAAGATAAGCAACAACGACAAGTTATATGACAAACCTATTTAAGGATAATTGTATCTATATAATTGCCACGGTTTAAGAGTACTAAATCATCCTCATCTGTTATGAGTTCTTCTATTTTCTTGTCTAAGGCATGAAGCAAGAAATAGTTATCATAAAGTTAGACCATATTACTGGTTACTAGGAGCATGTAGGATTATTATTTTTCACTTCGAACCGCACACCAGCACTCCGAGGTTCATCCACCAGATGCCACTGCCGGAGTACCAGTTGATGTGTTTTTAGTGTGATCAACAAGACCTTCATATCTACCCAGCTCTAATTCATTCTCAAACCCTGTTGTAGGGAACGCCAGCTGCACGACAAGGGACTTGGCTATCTGTCACTCTGGACATTAGGAGAGCACGGACTGAAATGGACAATGAAGAGCTTACGGTACTGCTGCTTTTGCAACAGCTTGTTGATTTCTTCAGTCGACAATTGAATAACAATCAATTGCTGCTTCCATAGATGGAAAAGAATTTTCAGTTTTCAGGTGTAT